CACACACACACACACACACACACACACACACATTATGCGCATACATCCTCTTTCCAACTTACTGAACCTGAAAAATTTTAATTAGGTACTCACCATTTACACCCCCCCCCCCTCACACACACTAAATTAAACTTAATAATAAAAAAAAACCTCTCCGTCAAGCTCAATGAAATTGTTGAACACTGCCACTGACTGCTTTATGTTTTTAGCAGCAATATGATAATAATAACACGTTGATCCAAATTAAGTATAATTTTTCTCTTTGGTGGGGGATAACCCAGTTGGTGTGATCGTGTGATAGGATTCGATTCGAATACCATAATTATTATTCTTTCCATTCATCCCCTTCCTTCTTATTTAGACATTCCTGTTCAATTAATGCTTGTACGGTAAAGTGGGAGCTTACCTGTGATCTGTCGTTATTACATAATGTGTCATGATTGAAAACAGACCTCATCTGTTGTAGACACTGACTTTACAGGTGCGTCTCTTCTTCTTTTCTCTGACGTTTATTAGGTCGGTCCAACGGTCTTCATAACAAAATGGCTGACATAAAATAATATTTTTGGCACCTCAAAATCAGCTCATTTTCCTTTGGCTCGAAAGACATTGAATACGTTCTTGGTTTGAGGGGTTTTTTTTCTGAACCTGTGCTATGTGCGTGCATTTGTTTTGTTTTGTTTCGCTTTTTTAAAAGTTGTTTTTGTTTGTTTATTTTACCGTGTGGTCGAATTGTTTTAGACCCTTCGCTGTGTCACCCAAAATACGAGAGTTCGATTCCCAAGTGGAGAAGTTTACTTGACTAAAATCACCGTCTTTCTGCTGCGGCTAGGATAAAGCATCTCACTCTGCCTGGGCCAGACATGACAGTATTGACAGACAGGGTCGTGGAATGGGGTGGTACGATTTCATGGGATGCTGTGATGGAGCTTCATGGGATGTTGTGATGGGGCTTCATGGGATGCTGTGATGAGGCTTCATGGGATGCTGTGATGGGGCTTCATGGGATGCTGAGATGGGGCTTCATGGGATGCTGTGATGGGGCTTCATGGGATGCTGTGATGGGGCCTCATGGAATGGGCCACGAGGCCTGCTCCTTAGTCCGACCCTCACTTTTGTCGTAAATGAGATTACCCAGTGTCTACTTTTCAGGGCTGGACAGATTTTTTTAAAAGTAAAAGTGTAAACTCTATATAATGATATACATTCCACAATGACTGGCTTCAGGACTGGACATATTTTATTGAAACTGTGTGTGTAAAATTCGACATAATAGTATACAATTTACAAATGAAAACCAGAAAAAAAACCCACTGGAAATGGGAACTGATTAAAGAGCTGGGTCAGGGTACAGCATAACAGATACAAAGAAACATAAGGGAGAGAAGGAAAACGTTCGTTTCTGATTGATACTATTTCGAGAACCGTATGAAGTGAAGTTATTAAGACAGACGTGTACACACGTATTTCGGAATAAAGATCAACGATACTTCAGGAGTTAAGATCGCAGAACAGCATGGGAGAAACGCATTTGAGAAGAGGATCACAATGAAATGTGAGGCTGCGTGATGAAATCAGGTGCTCGTCAAAATAATGAAAGCCGAAAAATCAGCATTTTTCTGCCATTTTGGAAATTGATGTCAATTTAATTTTTAAAAAAATTTTTAAATATTTTTTTTTGGGGGGGGGGGGGGGGGGGAAAACCCTTTTGTTGTTTTTCCAAAAACCTTTATGTGAATTTTACTGGGGAAAACGTTGATTTAAGGCCCCAAAAAAGAAAAGGAAATTTTCAGTTTCCCAGGGCCCCCAAATTTTGGAAAGCCCCAAAATTTGGGGGCCCTTTTTCCCCCCATTTTAACCTTTAAGGGGACCCCCCCCCCCCTCCATTGGAAAAACCTCCCCTTATATAGAATAAAATAGAAGGGTATTTTTAAACCAAAAGCAAGACAAATAAACATACAAGATTTAATATAATAATTATAACTCCATATGCCCAAATATTGACGAGTGCTTGATTCCACCACGTCCTGACACAAAAGAATAAAAGAGGGTGATGAAAGGATTATAAGTACAAACGTTTTGTCTTTTAAAAAAGAAGAAAGAAGCAATGAAACAAAAGCACCAACAACAGATCATCGCCACATAACTATTGACTGGCCTTTGTTCCCAAACGTAACAGAAATATGTCGTTTTGTGGAGTTTTCACTGCTTTCAACCCGACAGGATCGGTTCTCTCTGAGGTTCCACCTTTTAAATAACCTAACACTTATCTAC